ACCACCACCATTATCCTAATATATTTTTAAAAAATTCATCCATCCCACCACTATCGGACATAAACCGGATCAAGAATCACATGTTGAGTTATAAAAAAAAAATTGTAGAAAGAATAACAACGTAACGTCAACTTGAAAAAAAAAACTAAAAACAGCTTAATCGACATTTTATTTGGATTTTTAATTGATTATTGTGTAATTTTGATTTTGTATGACAATTTGTATGTTTTTATAATTATTCAGCAATTTCATCAATCGCAGTATAGAACAACATGTAATATTATCATTTTCATCATTCAGGATAGTCAATCAGATGTACGATCAAACAACATTGTTTCTTTCACAGTTAGAAAACTTTCTCATATAGTATTTTCTCAAACAACATTTTCCCGGACAACAACTATCAAATGGGACCTAAGTTTAGATATTATGTCATCTTGGGTTGGTTATTTTTGTGATTATCCTTAAGAAAATATATGGATATTATCTAAAATTAATTGACATTGCCTAAGAATTATCCTAACTAATCCTTGAAATTATCAAACAATGACATCTTTTCTTATATTTCAAGAAACATTCCAAGAAAGCTTACACTAAGTTATAGGTTGTTTGGTAGAATCTAGGAATACTATAGATGCAAACTCTTTATCGATTAAGAAATGTTAATATTATCTAAAAATTCAACAAGCTTCACCACATATGGTATGTACTTCTTTTGGTTCTACAATATGATTATCAATGAATTTAAATTATCTAATTAACCAATTCTGTATGAGATCTTATCATAATTATCTGACATATATGCCAGGAAAATAGGCTCGGAGACCCATGGCGAGGCTCAGTCGGAGGCATAGTTGATGCACCTATAGAAAAAGTATGGCCCATAGTGTCGCAAACTAAACGGCTGCCTGAATGGATGCCAATGGTCGAAACATGCACTCACCTACAAGGAGTCGAGGGTACTCCTGGATACGTTCGGTTAGTCTCGGGCTTCATGTTTCCACAAGAGGATGGAGATCGATCATGGATCAAGGAACGACTAATTTCGATGGACCCGTTGTTGCATAGCTACGTGTATAGAATGGAGGCTAGCAATGTGGGCTTGGACGGATCCGTAAATTCACTCAAACTAATAGATTATGGGGATGGTTCAACCTTGGCTCATTGGTCCTTCGAGATAAGTCCCATTGAAGGGGCATGTGAAGAAAGTCTGATAGATTATCTTGGATTTTTGTATAAATCTTGTATTAACAAGATCGTAGGTGCTATAGAAGCATCCTCAACAAAGAATTGAGTTTCAAGATGTGTATTTTTTGTACTTATAAGTAACGTATATTAAAACAATATCTGTTGAATTCGAAACCAATTTGTTTTGTTATAACATACACTAAAAAGACCATGAATCTCGACCTTAAAAGTGATCAGGTACTAGTATGGGTGAAAGCTTTTTAAAGGCAAGAGTACGAAGACGAGTGGAGATGGTTTTTTCGAAATTATATAAAGGAACGAACAATATCATTTTTTTCATTAACACCAAATGGAAAGTTGGATGCATGACGTAATTAAAGTGGTTCCATTTGATCGACATTGTCTTTCCTTTTCATTAATTTATATGCCTAATAACAATCGACACAAGTTTATTCTATTGGAAGCAATTATCTTGATCCAGAAGGTCAAAATCTATGGCGTCAAACGAACAAGATGAAGAATACCCATCAATAATAATCATGAAAATCATGTCGCATCTTATAGCTAAATTAACAACCAATTCAATAACATCCAAACATAATTCCAGCATCCGTGGCCACTTACCCTTCTGGATTTCTGCTGTTGAAAGCCATCTCTCATCTCAAAACTCAACACTAACATCCAAACACCACCACCACCATGATCACCTATCGTCCACCCACCACAGGTCGCTGTCGCGGCATACCCTTCACCTGTCAAATTAAACAATAAACTATATAATTATGAGATGCATGGACTAAGAATTTTGATCCAATTAAGGTGGGAAGTATGTTTTAATAATAGTTTTATTTCAATATCTGTCGGCTCTTGGGCAAATGAAAATGCAAAAATAAAATTCCAAATGGTGCTTATATAATTTTGATCAAATGACGTCCTCCATCTGTACTTTTTGCTCACCTAACTTCGTAAAACGACATTACATCACTTAATTTCATTGACATCCTGTATAAAGCCTCCTACGATCGACTCCACAAAGAAACTAGAAAAAGATCGAGCCGAAGCTCGAGTTAGAAAAAAAAATGGCGAGTTGGGTTCGGTCAGTGTTGGTGGTTCTAGCCATGGTCTTGTTTCCGACCACAGTTCAGTCTAAGGTTTGGCATTATAAGTTCAATGTAAGCCCGTTTCCTGTTTCTGATTTCCGGATCCTTAATTGGTGCACCAAGTAAGTCCCTGTTTAATTCTGATAGGTTTGGTACTAAATTGCAGGTTGTGATGAAGAACATGACTAGGTTGTGTGAAAGTAAACCCATCGTTACTATAAACGGAAAGTTTCCAGGGCCAACTTTATACGCTAGGGAAGACGACAGAGTGATCGTTCGAGTTGTGAACAAGGTGCCACACAACATCACTATACATTGGCATGGAGTCCGGCAACTACGAACAGGGTGGTCCGATGGGCCGGCGTATATAACACAGTGTCCGATACAAACAAACCAAAGCTATCTCTACAAGTTTAATGTCACCGGACAAAGGGGTACGCTTCTTTGGCATGCACATATCACATGGCTAAGAGCCACTGTACACGGTGCTATCGTCATTTTACCTAAACACGGCGTTCCTTACCCTTTCCCTAAGCCCGATCATGAAAAAATCATCGTGCTAGGTAAGAGCTGGACCTAATTCTACATCTTGAGCGATTTTGAAAACTAAAAGCGATGGTTTTTATTGGTTTTTGGTAGGAGAATGGTGGAAATCCGATGCCGATGATGTTATGAACCAGTGGGTTCAAACTGGTATGCCTCCTAATGTATCGGATGCACACACCATCAACGGCTATCCGGGGCCAACTCCTGGTTGTAGTTCTTCAGGATTCACGTTGCATGTTGAAGCTGGAAAGACATACTTGTTACGTATAATCAACGCTGCATTGAATGAAGATGTGTTTTTCAAGATCGCGAAGCATGAATTTACAGTTGTTGAAGTTGACGCCTGTTACGTGAAGCCATTCAAAACGGATACCATATACACCGCTCCAGGTCAAACCACAAACGTCCTTTTGACCGCCGATCAAAAATCCGGCAAGTACTTGATGGCCATCACCCCTTTCATGGACACCATTGTGGCGGTTGACAACCAAACTGCTATAGCCACCGTACGCTACAAAACCACCAAACCCTACACACCGCTTACCCTCACCACCCTTCCGGCGACAAACGCTACTCCGGCCACCAACTCCTTCATCGAGTCTCTTAGAAGTCTGAATTCCCCAAAATACCCTGCTCTTGTCCCTTTGAAAATCGACCACTCTTTACTGTTTGTTGTTGGTGTTGGAGTCAACCCGTGTTCCACTTGTGTTAATGGAAGCAGAGTTGTGGCGGGCATCAATAATGTTACATTTGTGATGCCGGACACAGCTCTCCTTCAAGCACATTACTTTAACACAAGTGGGGTTTTCACCGATGATTTTCCTGGAAATCCGATGACACCTTATAACTATACTGGCAGTGGGCCCACGAATATACAAACGACTAATGGTACAAAAGTTTACAGGTTAGCGTATAATTCTACTGTTCAAGTTGTGATTCAAGGTAATGGGGTTATAGCACCCGAAAGCCATCCGATACATCTTCATGGTTTCAACTTTTTCGTGGTGGCAAAGGGATTAGGGAACTATGATCCGGTGAATGATCCAAAGAAATTCAATTTGGTCGATCCCATTGAGAGAAACACCCTCACCGTACCTACAGCCGGATGGATTGTTATAAGATTTAGGGCTGATAATCCAGGTAAAAATCAAAACTTAAAAACTTACAATTCTGAGATGATACTTTAAGACATGCATTTTAGGTGTTATTTTTTTAATATTAATTGAGGTATATGGTAGATGTAAATTACGGTTTTACCCTTCATTTTAGGTGTGTGGTTTTTGCATTGTCATCTGGAAGTGCACACGACATGGGGGCTTAAGATGGCGTTTTTGGTGGATAATGGTAATGGGCCAAATGAGTCGATTATCCCGCCACCAAAGGATCTTCCGACATGTTAGGAAATTGTATTTCCTTGAGAAACTGTGACAATTCATGAGATTCTGAATATAAAATTCATTCAAGTGTAGAGTGTGAGGTCTTGATACAAACAATTTGGCACGTGAAAGTGAAAGGAGAATAAAGATGAAACTGATAATTTTTGTGATTTTAGTGGTTTAGTTGTTGATTCCATGTTGTGGAAACTTGTTTTGGTGTGTGAGAATTGCTTTCTAGGTGTTTGTTGTTGATTTGAGGAAATCATCATGTAATTTATTTAATTTTTATACGGGGTTAAAGTTAAATAAAAAATTTCTGAAGAAAAAAAAAAGATAGCAGCAAATTACAAAAACGCGCCAGGTAGGGGTCGAACCTACGACTTTCTGCTTAGGAAACAGACGCTCTATCCACTGAGCTACAAGCGCCTTATTGTTTTCCTTATCATATAAAGACAATTAATTGATTTTCCAATTCTAACACTACTTTTTTTTTTTTTTTAGCTTCCATCTTCAAAAGAATAACACATCATCGTATTCTTTACACTAATTAGTATTTACAATGCGTTATAACTTTACAATCCTTATATGCACATATTCAAATCCCAAATGATCAAACCATAATTTCATAATACCATCCTCATTCTCTCTCATCAACTTCTCACACAACATGTAAATGTAACCATCTCTTTTCCAATTCTAACACTACTATTTTTTCGGCGTCCATCTTCAAAAGAAACAAGAATTAACTAATTTGGGATCATATATTCATATTCATGGCAAAGAACAAGATATGGCCACAAAGTATTTACACATCGTGTTATTCTTTACACTATTTATTTACAATGCCTAAATAACTTTACACTCCTTATATGCCCACATATTCAATACCAAATGACCAAAATCATAACAACCCATAATTTGATAATACCATCCTCATTCTCTCTCATCAACTTCTCACACAACATAAAACAAAACGAATATATCAAATACCCAAATCGATCATATCATCTTCTTCCATTAATCTTCCTTCTATACACATCTCTAAATGGGATAACAGAAGGAGGGCAATCTGTTCTTGATCCAGCAAAAGAATAATACGCAAGAACATGAGCAGGATGTTCCACCACTTTATCTTCACCACAATTCACCCTTCTAGAAGGAATTATCTCAATATTCCAAAAAGGTCTCGCCATAGCCAAAAAATCACACCCATTCTGCGACCCTCTATACCCTTGAACCCAAAGATACCTAAGCGACCTCAACTCCAAAACAGCATTCGCAAGTGCATGTTCACTAAAACAACACCCTCGCACTTCAAGCTTCTGTAAACTAGGGCACCCTTTCGAAAACCCTAAAAGCCCTTTATCAGATTCACCAACATACCCTAACAACATCCATCGAACATGTTGACTGTATTGACCGATGTAACTCAAACCCTTGTCAGTCAACCCTCCTTGCCTGAGATAAAGAGCGAATCTTTTGAGTTTACGGCATCCGCTAAGTAGAGATCGGACACCCTTGTCGAGGGGTAAATCGGTAATTACGTCTTCTCCGTCGAGCAAGACGAGACGGAAGTCGGAGAGGTTTGTTAAGTGGAGGCCCATGGATTCGAGGGCGGCGTTTGTGATGTCGGAGACGTAAACGGCGATGTATTCGAGGAGTAGACAGCCTTTGGCTATGGCTGTTAAGCCTCTTTGCGATACGACGCCTTCTTCGTATTCCATTTCTTGTTCATCTGCCCCTCGTTCCACTCTTAATCGTTTTAGTTTTTTGCAAGAGTTTGCGAGAACTTCAAGTCCCCTGTCTCCAATCACTGTTCTTGTCTGTTTATCAAGATAAAACACGAGTTAAATACATCTCATGAGTCATTGATAAAATTAAAACATTTTCTCTTTATGTTGTTGATTTTAGTCCACGAGATTGCTTTATTTTGTGTTTTTATTGAGAAGGGTATTTTAAATACATAACAAAATAGTCAAATTTTACAAATTTTCATGGAAAGGTAGGTCTCTTCAGGACAAGTCACAAAACAAAGAACCAAAGAAAACTAATGTTATTGAAGCTATTGCTTTTTATTGTGCTTTTGTTGAAGGTATGTTGTTTAAATACATGGCAAAATAGTTGATTTTATTGAAAAAGTTACAGTTTTTATCATCATGTATATATGAAGTTGGGGCGTTTAACGACAAAATCAAAGACGAAAAGACCTTTTTTTTTCAATTTCATCGTTACCAAGAAACTGAAGTTATTGATTTTTGATATGTGACATTTTTAGTATATTCTAGAACTAGTTTATAACCTGTGAGAAACATATTACAAAATTAATTAAACTTTCATTCATAATGAAGATTCATAATTATTAATAACTTATTTTAAATAAATTATGAATTAAAAGATATATCAAAATTTTAAAGGTATTATAACTTCAAATTTAAATTTAATTAGAAAAAATAAATTTGAAATTGAAGTGATTTGTCTAATATATCTCTATGACATATTACATAATATTAATAAGGAGTTGTATTAGAGTGACACATGGCAAAAAAAAATTAAAACTATTTTTTTATTAGAATATGGAGATAACTTCTATTTTTTGTTTCTATCAATTCAAGATAAATGTTAAAATTGAAAGATCCATTTTTTTTACTGTTATAAATGTCAAAATTAAGAAAATATTAATAGAGTAGAAAAATGGATAAAGAAAAAGATAAAATGATATTCAATTTCTCTTCTAGATTATATTAAAATTTAAAACACCAAGCATCAATTTTGGTCCACAAGATTGCTTTATTTTGTGTTTTTGTTACTTAAGAAGTGTATTCTACATACACGACAAAATAAATAGTCAATTTTACTAATTTGCTTGAAAAAGTTACGATCTGTATACAACTTTTAATGTTGGGTCCTTTCAAAAGAAAACATCCCAATTCATCGACAATTCAACACCAAGAAAGTTATGATATCGATTTTAGTCCACAAAGTATCGATTTTGTGTTTTTGTCGAAGGGTTTTTTTAAATACATGACAAAGTAGTCAGCTTTACTAATTTTCTTGAAAAAGTTACCATCTTTGTCGTGACTCTGAAGTTGGGTCTTTTCAAGAAAAATAAAAATCAAACACGAAAACGAAAAGGAAAAGGAAAAGGATTTTAGTTTTTTACCTCAAGAACTTCAAGATTGGGACAACGTTGGAGCAAGAGACAATGATCCTCTGTGTCAAGAAGAGCATAAAGGAGATCAAGTTTCTTGAGCCTTGATGCAAAGGGAAACACAATTGGCATTTCAGAACTACTCATGTAATTTAGACCCAAACGACATAATCTTGGAGGGTATGCCACGTCACCATACCCTCCTGCTTGATCATTAAAGCAACCCCCACCAAACTCTTGTAGTGAAACAGCTGCCCGAAAGAAGCCAACAAGATCCAAGATCTCACAATCCCCAATTTTGACTGAAACTAGAGACTTGCATTTTGTAGCTATGAGTTCAAGATCTTTAAAATTTACTTGTGAAAGATCTGTCATGTAAAAGTTTAATGTCTCAAGCATTGTGTTGTTCAAAGCAAGCTCATGTAGCCACTCTCCATCTTTTTCTGTTACTTGGCTCTCTTCAAGAAACAAGGTTTTCAAGTTCCTGCAATAATTTCAGGGGTATTTTAGACATTTGACAAACACTCTTAAGCTTACTCTATATGTTTTGTCGAATGCTGTGGTTTTGATGGATGACAGAAGTATTAATATATAGCAAATCAATATTTTGTTTTTGAAGGGCAAGTTTTCTAATTACAAGCATCACAATTGAATAGCAAGTACTCAAAACTTCAACTAACTTGATGTTGACATTAAATGCAATAACAAGTTAACAACTGCTACACAAAGAAAGTTCCTAATAATCCAAATGAAATTGTTAAAAAACAACATATCAGAAGACAAATACACAATAATCATGACATGGGCTTGTGCAAATGATCCACATATACATAATAAAAACATCTAGTATTTGAAAAGATAATGATCAGATTAAGCAGATTAGGGGAGAAAAAAGAAGATGAAATCGCATGATAAGATTGAAATTGAAATTATTATGCAAAAGAGCCAAAGTTTCAACAATAAGATACCTGCAAGAACGTGAAATATGCAACAATCCATCGGTGGAAAAGCCAGAGCACTTATCAAGCTTAAGAACCTGAAGAACATGGCCACGAGCTCTTGCGAGTACCTCAAGATCGTCATCTGTCACAATCATCCGTCTAAAGTGCACAGCCTTTAAGCATCTGAAAGATCTCGCAAATTCCTCAACCCATGGCGTCACAAACCCACCCCAATCCTCCGGGATCAAGTTATACATGGCGGCGCGTGGCTTCCCTTTTAACTTCAACGATTCCAGATACGGGAACCTCCGCCATAGCTGCTCCGGCGTCGACGAGTAACACAACGCTATTGTAACGTGCTTCCGAGTCTGTGCATCTAACTCGTACCATCTCCGGCACACCAAGGAGACTGATTGCCGATCACGGGAGTCGTGTATGTAAGGAATCACGCATTCGAAAACGACATCCGACATGCCGTGAATCCTGTGGAAGTTGTAACTCCGATCTTCCATGATTAGATTCGAAACACACAGTGATGAAGCTTCGTTTACCTCAAGATTTTCAACTACATGATTGAATTAAAATAAAACAAGTTGATGAATGAGATGTGATAGTCGATATTCATGGAGAAAATAAAGAAATATCGGTTTAAAAAATAAAAATTGGGGAGATTGAGATCCACGAATGATAAACTAGAGAGATAGTTGGAGTGAGTGTGGGTGATGGAGGTGTTAAATGTTAATTGGGGAGAGACAAGTGGTTAGAGAGAGAAACCTTTTTTACTCTTTTGCCAAAAACTAAAGTGGATAGAGAGAGAAACTTTTTTTTTTCACAGACAACTATCCATCTTTAAAAAAGGTTAATGTTGTTTGTAGATAAGAATTTGAAATATTTATTTTTGCTTATTATTAAAAAGGTTAATGTGTTATTTATTTTTTATTTTTTTGAAAAGCTGAATATCAATAAATAAATAAAGTTAGAAAGTACAAACTAGAAAGGAAAACACGGTAAAACAGAAAATAAGGATTATAGCCAAAGAATACATTTTAAAATAGTATCCCGAATGTTATGATTCCTAGTGCGTAGGGTAGGCAGTGTTAAACCTTAAATGTTATGGTTAATGGCGGATCATGACGTTGGTTAAAGTGTGATTTAAGACGTCAATTATATATATATATATATATATATATATATATATATATATATAACCTAAGATAACTTTTTCTTAAGGTGTGACTGTACAAACATTAAAATCATGACTAGCTTTTTAGAACCATGATCACAACTAAAAATGAAAAAAACAAAAAAAAAAAAAATTGACATGATACGATACTTAAATGTGAGCTTACCGGTAATAATATAGGGAAAGGAAAGGTCATCCCAAATCTATATATCTTATAAAGTTAGCATTTTTCCTTAAACCTCATGTATTTAAAACTCCCAAGACTATATATAAGCATTTTTGTTCAAACTACATTCATTTGAAACCCCCATCTTTTAACTAATACAACTCAAAAGTCTTCTTAATAATGATTTAACACTCAAAAGTTTTATAACTTATATTATGTTTAATAAGCACTTAATGAAACATTTACTATAAAAAGATCAATCTTTTTGGTAGACATGCATACAAATCACATACAAACTTCATAAAGAAAACAAGCTTAAAGGTTTTTGTGTTGGTTTGAGGTCTTATTACCACTTTTCGAGATATATTATTATGTTATAGTTTTTAATTTGTAAGTTTGTTATATACTAATTATTTTTATATTTTTCTTGGTTTTGGATTCTTTTAATACAATTGTTGTATGTTGTGCTTAAATCGTTAATATATATATTAGATCATATAGATGTTATATATCATATATTATATACCGTGATGTGGATAATATTTAATTAGATATGTTAAATATTATCGTTTGTTTTGTACCGCTTCAAAAAAATAATTAACTAAAAGTCGTGAATATTTTAAATTTTCCACGTAAATCTAAAAGATATATTTTTCTTTTTACCGTATGTATTTGAAACTCTCATTACTTTTCAATTTCTTTCTAATAATGATTATACATTGGTTAATAATGTTAAAGAGGTGTAAAACGCTAATTGTAATTCTAAAATTAACTAAACTTGAATATTAATTTAACATATTTTACTTCTACTTAGTTTTGATATGTTATTTCTTAAATTGTCAATTTAAATTCACAACTTTTGAATAATTTATATAAAATACTTAAATTTGTTAATTTAAATACAATGTTTAAGTATTAACTAAAATGGAAATTTAAATTAAACTTAAAGAAAATCCAATGACTATTTTGTAAATAGTTATAAGTTATAAATTATAGCGTTAAACGTAAAAACTAAATTGTAATCCCAAATCAATTAAAATATTTCCTAGAACTATTTTTATAAATATTAATAATTTCTAAGTAAGTATCTTACAAATAACTTACAATGATAATAGTTAAAAGTAATATTGTTACCTTTAAAAACAAAAACAATGTTTGATGTTTTAAATAACTACAGTAATAGAAATTAAAAAGTTAATCAAATATGGTTTTTAAAATCTCTTTTTTTACACTAATTAATCATAACAACAACTATGAATAACATTAATTCATATACTCTATTTAATTTTATTTATGAGTAACGTGCTGATAGAGTCCACTGAGACGATTAAACCTATACAGTTTTAATAGATTTAATATGATCATGTAATTCAGAATAATCACTATTTTATACTAAATTAGTATAAGAATTAATATATCAAAGTTAACTATGACATTTTTATATTTAAACAACATATATTTTAAATTTATATAAAGAATGCATTTTTACTTGCACCACATGCATTTGAAACCTCCATGACTTTTCAAATTCTTTCTAATAATTATTATAAATTGTTTAATAATGTTAAGTTAATGCAAAAACTACATTTTAATCATAAATTAACTAAACTACAATATTAAAATATTATATTTTACTTCTATTTATAAAATTATGACTATAATTATTTAAAATATTATAGTTAACTTATTAGATTATATATGTTGTTGCAAGTGAACAATTGTCATTTGAAAGTCACAACGTTTGTATAATTTATGATTTTATGCAATATAGTTAAATTATTAAATTCAATATAATGTTAAACGGTTAACTTAAATCAAAATTTCAGTTAAACTAAAAAAAATCGATAAACTATTCCATAAATAGTTAAAAGTTATAAGTTATAGTGTTAAATCAAAATTGTAATCCTAAATTTAAAAAAAAAAGCATGAAACTATTTTTTATAATAATTAAAAATTTTCAAATATGTAGCTTACATACAACTTACAATAAGAATAGTTAAAAGTAATATTATATAAAAAATTATAATGTTATCTGTAAAAACAAAAACAATGTTTGTTGTTTTAAATAATTACAATCAAAGAAACTAAAAATATTCATCAAATAAATTTTAAAAAGTTATATTTCTGAAACAAAATTAAAATAATTAAGAGTTTTCAAATACGTTATTTACAACAATAATAGTTAAAAGTTACATTCTACACAAAAATTATATTGTTACCTTTAAAAACAAAAACAATGTTTGATGATGTAAATAATTACAATGATAGAAATTAAAATCTTAAGCAAATAATCTTCTTAAAATTTACTAATCATAACAACTATAAATATTATTAAACCATATATTGTATTTAATTTTATTCATGAGTAATCGGTATGTATAACCCATTGAGACAATTGAGATTATATAATTTTAAAAGATGTCGTCAATATCATATAATTGAAAACAAACAATGTTTATATCAACCTACTATAAAATTTATTATATAAGAGCTAACAACAACGCCATTGATATATTTAAAAAACATATATTTGTAAAATTTTTAAATATATTGTTGTATTCTGCGCAACGCGCGGATATTCGCCTAGTTAAGAAAATGAAAGACGAGGACATGGATGAAAGTGGAGATGACCATGTGTCCCCAAACCTAAGCCCAAGTAGCATAAGTTATAAGGAAAAGCAAAATGTGCCAAAAAAAAATAGTAAGAGACCTTCAATCAATCAAGGGAAATGACTTGTAAGGGTAACACACTATCGTTTTGGTCACTTTCCATTTTTTATATACCATGTATCATTAAACTTATTGTAGTTGTTCAAACGATATCATTATTACCGGGTATTGAAGATTTCCAACGAGTATTTTACTTTGGTCGTCTTTTCCGGCGAGTTTTCGGCCAAATGATTTTAGGAACAATTTCAGATCTAAAAACGATTTCAAGAACACTCCCTTCCATATGTTCGTCTGCTTCTGTAAAAGATTTTAGTTTTCGAGTCTTCGGTCATGTTTAATTTATGGGTTCATATTCAAGAACACACAAAATTTTTTTGAGTGTGTTCATCTGTGAGATTGAAGGTCCAAAAAGCGAAGGGTTGAAGGTCAAAAAGCGAAGGGTTGAAAGTCAAAAAGCGAAGGGTTGAAAGTGTGTCGGATCTGAGAAAACAAGCAGGTGTTCGTCTTCATCGTGTCCAACAAAACCCAGAAATCAAAATCATTAAGTTCCAGAAATTGATTCGTCTTAGACATGTTTGTGTGTTCTTCATCTTCACTTGTTCAAAAACATTTTGGTTTGAACACAAATCTTCAAATATCCAAACGATTTTAGGAACGATTTCATATAAAAAAATGATTTCAAGAAAACACAGACACTTACATCTTGTTCATCATAGTTCAAAGCAAAATATGGCATCTTATTCGTGTTTTTCAGGAACAAACCCAGAAATCGACGAGTGTGTGTGTTTGTGTGTGTTTATAAGTCTTCGAGTTTCAAGAATACCCACCAAAAAGCTACAAAGATCGAACGGTTTCTTCTTGTTCTTGAAAACCCAAAAAGCGCAACCCTTGAAATCGAAGGTTTGAGTTTTTTGTGTTCTTAAGTCGTGAGTTCCAGAAATAAAAACAGATGAAGACAATTTTTTACACAACACATCTGAAATCATTTTACAGGTAAGAGCTTCATGAAATTAAGATCTTCATTTCTTCTGAAATTGTTTCTAATGAACGAACCCTAGATTTTAGGGATTTTGATTTTCAGGTTTTGGGTCTGGATCTAGATTCTTGTGAGTTCTTCAAAACTTGATTTTGAAATCAATTTTAAGGAGCACACCTGAAAAAATCTAGATTTCAGATTTGTTTTCATGTGTGTTCAAATTGCCCGGAAATTCATATTGTTTATCGAAAATGTTATGTTTGGCCGGAAAACTCATAGGCTTTGCCGGAAAATTAATTTTGACTGGTTAAACTTATGTTAGCCAGTCATAATAATATATTATGACAACGATAACAAGTTAAATGGTAAAATAATAATAATAATAATAATAATAAAAACCAAAAGTTTGTTACCGTCCTGAGTCATTTTCCCTTAGATTAAAACAGATGTTTCGTGTTTGGGTGTACCTGTTACCGTCCGACCATGTCAACTTGTGCCAAATGTTGGAAAACGATCTAAGTATTTTGAATTTAAATGGTCATTTAAGAGGGTACTATACTACTATAAAAAGAGGTTTAGAAAATAGAGTTTTCCAAATACAAATCTAGTAGAATTTTAATAATAATAATGATTTTGTACAAGCCTTTATTGTGACGCAAAAAAATTATAAATATGGGGGGTTTGATTGTCCGGTTTTGTTTTACATTAACTGATATATAGTTAACTATAAAACATCTATTTATTAGAATAGTTCTACTTTATTGTTTGTTTGAATCATTTTTAA